TTTATAATCTTTCATCAAAATGTGAATGAAATTAGTTAACACCTGCAAAATCTTTAAAGCAATATGCTACAAAAACATACAGGTACAATCCTCTTACAGTGCATGCTTGTGTTCACTTGTGTACATTGGTGAGTGAGATGCACACTTAGCAGTACTGGGAAGTTCATTGCAACCTCTAAATTAATGACCACTGGACAGTCTGTTAATCCTCACGCTTTTACACCGAGACCTACGGCCAGCCGATCAATGCGTCAACTGGGAGAGATTAATCAATGCCCCGTCAGACAAACTCCTCTTTTTCTCTCCATGCCCACTCTTAGTCCTTTGCCTTTTCAGCTTCTTTTTCTCCTCACCCACTTCTTCTCTTTTTGCTCATGTTCCAAACAAGTCTGAAAACAATCTCTCTGCACACCTGTTTCAATGAGCTCCATTAGGCCGACTAGCAGTAGGCATAAAGTCTTGTGGTAATACGATTGCTAAAACATTAACCAGTCACTGCTTTGCTTTATGGCAGTTTAGAGCTGATGATGGAGAAATAATAAACCTGAGCACTCTACTAATGCTGTATGAATATACTGATGTCAATATGCTAAATATCTTGAAATGCTGACTTTAATAGCAGCATATTAATTATCAAATTGATTCATTTCCTGACCTAAAATGGACCTCAGTTCAGGTAGATGACATAATTATTTTTACACGACTGAAACAAGATTGTGAGGGATAAATGTACAGACTTAAAGTCTTAATTCACAGCAATTTTTTTTACAATCAATCTTTTGGAATGATGTACTTCAGTATTGAACAACTGACACCAATGTACAAATCAATGTAAGAAAATCTGTCCCTCTGTTTCCTTTGGCAAAATTAAATATAGCTATTCTGACTAAAGCTCGCAGGTGCATGCAACTGAGAGAGTTTTTAGTCTGTCATCTTAGTGCTTGACTTGTCTCTTTAGCTATTTAAAGGATGCAAATGTGAAAAAGCTTGAAAGTCACTTTGTTCTGCAACTGCCAAAAACAAACTCGCAAATGCAGATGAATGTTACGAAACCTTCAGCTGTGTCTACAAAGGGACTGACTGGATACCACACACAGACAGCAAGCTCCATCTCCACCTAGTGACATGACATCTACCAATGAGGATAGCTGATGATTTCTGCTTTCTAAAAGGCATCTTTTATTAGTACTGGAAAAAGAGCAATATGGCTGAGAAGGGGTTTTTCTTTGCTCTATTGAAGTGCTTTCTGAACTCAAATAGACATTTAGTCCTGCAAACCAAGAAGATGAAAGATTCACTGCCTTAATATATTTTCTGTTCATTCAGAGAAAAAGCACTAAAGCTCAACTATGCCGAATCCTCCTGCGCATTGCATATTTTCAACAAAAATGACTCTTGCAATTATGGAAAAACAATTCATTACAAAAAAAATGACCAAGACTCTTTGTGCAAAAATTATCTTAAACATAAACTGCTGAATCTGTGTTTTAAGTTTATGATATATGGCCAGGCACAAGCGTACTTGGGAACAATAAAATAGTTTGGCAGACCAGGTAATGCAGACTATGAAGTTTCCTGTACTTCGTTTCTCACCTGCGTTGGTGATTGCGTCGATCTCCAGTTTTGTGATGTCACCACTGAAGAGGGATATTTTCTCATTCAGCTCTTCATTGAATTTGTACCGAGGCTTACAAGAGGAGTCACCTAAAAAGAAGCACACAGTTGTCATGTATTTACACAAAACAACCCTCATATAAGTTGGTCTACATATAACAATCTATTCATATCTTCATGAATGACTCCAAACAGGTTCAATTGGTTCAGGATTAAAACAAAAAGATTCTCTTTTTGTATTATTATTATACATGATGAGTGTTTTAGTGTGTTTTGTTCACCTGATGGACTCCAGACAGGAATCTTCTCCAGAGGAATGAAGTCAACCCTGTACGTTTCCCTCCTCTTCTCATTATCCATGGAGCAAAGCTTTTCTACCAAAGACAAATATGCAAACCAAGTCATACAAAATAAATCAAATGAAACACTATTTGATTTTCATTTAGAAATTTCAGGGCAAAGGTTTTTGATATTGATAAATACAGTGATTCTGATTGGTTAAAACAGAAAATGTTGATGTTGGCTTGAGACTAGACTTAAAGTTCAAATAGTTCCAATAGATAGACAGACCACTGTAAAAATGGTCACGATTTTAATGGTAAAAGACTGTAAAAATGCTATAGTAAAAACGTATTAATTGGTTAACGGTAATTTCCCTCACTATATACAGTGAAAAACTTTAATGGACATTTCATGTAATTTTACGGTAAAATACAGTTTTTGGAAGTGAAAAAGAACATGGAAATTGACATTCGCATAATTCCATGTTACATTTCATGTTTGATGATTTTTCATTGAAATAACTGTTTCTTCTTTTTACTTTTTCTTATCAGTTGTGTACATTAGGCATTTATCTTACAAATAATGATAAATTCATGTGTATTGCCTTATTTCAGTTTCATGTGTGTTACTATGATGCTGTTTAGTATCTGTGTGAATGACACAGCACACTTTCTATATACTGTATGAAGAGTTAATTTGCAAAAACAGATAACTCCACTTTTAACAATTTTCAAAAATCATGTTTTTTCATTGTGCATTCCA